CGATTTGATGATGTACAGCAGACTGGCACTAGCTAACTGCACCAGCACGCGGGATTGGCGAGATTGGTCAATCTGGCAAGTATAAATACTGCGCTTGCCGACCAATCTGAGAGTTATTATACTAAGCTAGGTTCTTGCGAAGCGGGTGTAATTTCATTCGGGGTTGATTGAAACTCAATCCGGATTCAAGTAAGCTACCCTTAATTCAAGTATTGTCCTCATTTTGCTTTTCATCATGTCATGGATTCAGGGTTAACCCCCTCCCCCCTCCCCCCCATCGCGCAACAAGTCTGCGATCGGTAGACCCACCGTGGATGTAATCTATTTGTCAACGGCTCCTAGCTAAAAAACTCTGTCTTCAAAAGTAGTGGCAGACAAAAAGTGCTAGCATGTATCCCCGTTAAAGAAAAATGCACACTTACGCCAATCAAACTAGACAACGCGGAGTCAAAATGATGTACTTCTGATTTCTGAAGACTTCCTTTCAGATATAACCGCACTCTACATAAAATATTTGCATTCTAAACACCGAATTCGTTTCAAAAGCACACCTGAATACAGATAAAACGGAAGCTAAAGCAAATTAGATAATTTATTCAAATCATACTAAAGAAATATCATACCAAATTCAGCCGTTAAAGAACTAATTTCGTGAAGCCATTTTTTAGAATTTGTCGCTTGTTTGAGCTTGGTGCCTCTGTCTGTTTTCGAGAATCCTTCAAAACATCTCTGAAATTCCTCAACCTTTCCAAAATTCCTCGAAAACATTTCCTTGAAATTTTCAGGCTACTTGAAACTTATGCACTAGTCAATTGAAACTACGGCCCCCCGACCCCCGCGGCATAGCGGGGAATTAACGCGGTCAGGGCCGTGGTTTAACGCTACAATTTCCCGGGGATACCGGGTATTTAACGAAAATATAATTTGCCGGGGGAAAATAGCGGGGATTTAACGCTCGGCTAAAGGACTGTAGAGGCCTGGGTACGAGTTCGCTGGCTCGTCCATGTGCTCGTCATTCGACCATGTGCTCAATCTCGTTCCCCAAGCATGCCCGTTAGCAGGTTAAGGGTGGACATAGCTCTGGAGAAATCGAATTGATTCAGGCCTGTGATTGGCTGACGGCAGATAGTACGTTGGATTTCCAACGTGAGTTCTACGCATGCTTGGCAATTGCAGCAAAATATAAACAAAGTATTTGGAATTTCTCGTCGAAAATTTGATACATTTTACACCGAAATCGTTTGAAAACAACTAGAAATTCTGGAGGAAATATGTACGAAAGCTTCGGATTGATAGGGATACAACTACCTGAAAAATACAAGGAGAACTTCGACGTTTCGAGCGAAGGCGCTTCGACTTGTGCTGTTAGTGTTTGTATACATCGTACTTGACCTTTTATATACTGTCATATCTAACATTACGTATACCATAAATTCTGACAGGAGAGTTAGTGTAAATTTCAAAGCATAAAAATATATAATACTTATTATTGAGGAGATTATATTTATCAGCAAAGGTCAAGTACGATGTATACAAACACTAACAGTACAAATCGAAGCGCCTTCGCTCGAAACGTCGAAGCTCTTCTTGTATTTTTCAGGTAGCTGTATCCCTATCCAAGCGAAGCTTTCGTACATATTTCCCCCAGAATTTTTAGTTGTTTTCAGTTCGATTTCAGTGTAAAATGTATCAAATTTTCGACGCGAAATTCTAAATACTTTATTTATATTTTGCAACATTACCGAGCATGCGTAGAACTCACGTTGGAAATTCAACGTGAATCAATTCGATTTCTCCAGAGCTATGTCCACCCTTAACCTGCTAACGGGCATGCTCGGGGAACGAGATTGCCATGTGCTTGTCATTCAAACCCGGCGTGCTCCCTTGATGTGTATTGTCTATTGATAATTTTACTAAAGTTTGTATCAAACGTTCCCCGGTACCGGGGCATTTAACAAATACTTTTCCACCTGTAGCGGGGGAAATGTGCCGGGATTAACAAGGTGATTTGTTAAATTCCCCGCTATACCGCGGGGGTCGGGGGGCCGTAGTTTCAATTGACTAGTGCATTAAAGCGATCTTTTCTTACATTTTCTGGCGTCAAATCTAACTTTTGATTTATATATTGCATGTCCTTTACTTTCAGATCGCATAGTACATGAATAACGTTGTTCCTTTCGTTGTAAACGTTTAAAAATCCACAAAATTTCGACCCGCTTGTAAAAACATAAATTGCAAAATTCCTATTTTATAGGAGAACTCTTCAAAATATATTTAATCTTAAGCGAGTGCTTCCACATCCACATAATAAAAATCCTTTTAATTACATTTTCTCAACTTCCTTTCTTGAAAAAAAATTTCCTTTCCAAAAGATATTCGCTTGTCGGGAAAGTTACATTTTTGGAATTATTAAAAAACAACCACCGTTTTACTTTAGTTTCCATAAAAAAATATACCGCAACCTTCGAATATATAATCCCCCCGTGCAGTAGCCCCTTGCGTATAGTCCCCCCTGGGCATGAACGCTCCCCCCCCCCGATTATAAGCCCTCCCGTGTATAAGCATGCGATGTTCGTTATTACGCTCAAACAATTCCAAATACCGGTAAGAAAAAATGTTATAGCCGTATTTGTTAATGTTTAACGAATCTTCTTTGTGGCTTCAGTCCGTAAACAAAATATGTACAATTGAATGTTAAACGAACAGCAGCAAGGATTTACTCACTACTTAAAGATAAAACAGATTCGACGTTTCGACCGAAGGGCCTTCGTCGGGAATTAATGTTGGCGGGGTGGGGTGGGGGGGGGGGGCAAAAGCGTGTCTTTTATAGGCTTTATATAAGTGAAAAGACACGTGACAAAATAAAAACCAATAAGACATCTTGCACTCTGTTTTATCGTTTAGGTAGTGAGTAAATCCTTGCTGCTGTTCGTTATTTTGAAGCGCTGCCTGCACTGGCGACGTGTGCTGTTGGTTTACAATTGAATGTTAGCTTTGTATGTTAACCGACTTTTTTGTTATACTATTAGTTTATTGGTAGTTTACATGCATTCTTCAACATAAACTTACATTCTAGCAAAATTGTGCTCTGCAACCGCAAAGAGCACTGGAACTGGACCTGGAGGAATATAGCGGCGATGAGTTTAAAATTTGATTGGCAGATACATATTGCGTGCGTAATCCCGTATTATACAGATCAGTTGAAATAAGCAGAGAAAATGAAATGAGAGGTAAAGCGCGAACATTCTTAACTGAGCCCACTATACTATATGGGCATAGATTATAAAAATAACAAAATTAACAATTATTTACCGAAGTATTATTTCATCAACTAATTTAATTACAATTCTAACGTGTAAAAATATAGTAAAAAAATTGTCATTGATTTAAGTTATCGCTCTTTTCTACTCGCTTGTAAATTATCTTACTGACAAATTGTTGGCATTTTAATTAGTTATGAAAGTGTCTTTCATAGTTATAAAAATTCGTTATGAAAAAATCAATTATTGAACTCTGTCGTGCCCAAGTCCTGGCGCGGCCAACAACTCAAAACTACAAGCGCACAAAAATAAAATGAACAAAATGGCAAACTTCGTTATTTGTTTTATACAATTATGATGTTTTTAAATGCATAATAAAACAGTTATTGGATTCGGCTTTCGGATTGTATCAAGAATTATTGCGACTTCGGTGAAGGTTATCCGACAGATAACACTGACCTCGGTAGTCTGAATAATTCTTGAGTCATGTTCAGCCTCATGGAATAATTGATTATTTTTTTATAGTCTGTATATAATGCAATGAAATCTTAGTGATAGAACCATATTTCTGGGGCACTTTTTGTCCCCGACCTTTATTTTTGCTAGACAAACGTTTCCAGCTGTGTCTGTGCGACGAGTTACAATGCACCACAATGACATATAACCAGGTGGCATTAATGTGTTAAAATTTCTTCAACCCTTTACCCCGAAAGTGAAAATTTGGTTTTAAGCAAATAATGTTAGATGCTTTTGATTTCTTTCTGAAGAACGGCCGTTCATTGATTTACAAATGAGGTCGGTTTCTTGTCTTTTGTTTATTCACGACTCGTCTCAACCGAAAATATTATTGTCGAGGCTGCTAGCGTACATTAATTTTGAAAGCGGGTGATAAAAAACATTTAGCATGTTATAATGTTAATTTTTAATCACGAGCTTTCCCGCCATCAAGATAATCAAAGACATTTTTTTGTCGCTCACATAATTAAAACGTTCAATATCTAAACTTTTTTTTCTTTCCCAAGTTTTAGCTAACTGAGCATATGGCGTTAAAACACATAGAAAAATATTAAAATTTTTAAAATACAACTATACTAGCAGTTCGGACGTTCTCAATGCTTCTTTCCACGCTTTGAAGATCTCGAAGTCTCATCTTTTTGCAAATAGATGCCATGAACAAATACTACAGTGTGTATCAAAGTTGCTCGAAATCAAATTTTTCCGCCGATGGGAATTCGAATTGAATATACAGACAAAGATAAATGCAAATTTAATTAATCAACAAACTGTTATGTACAATTTTCATTTTAGTTTTCAGTGAGGATTAGCATTTCAAAGCCTTGTGGGACAAGCTTTCAAAGAAAAAATGTCCAATCCCATCGACTGAAAATTGTGGTTTTTATGGATTTTTTGTCAAAGCAATATACTCCTTCATTTTCCAACTAAATGACGCGTAAACATGTCATTTCAAAGGTAAATAAATTAACTTAACAATGGTGTGAAAACCAATTCCTATGTTTAGAACTATTTCTACATATACAATAAGTTGTATTTAGAAATAACTTCTAAATACACAAAAACATTAAATCATACATACTTCAAACAACAAAATATGAAGCGGCGCCGTGACCACAAAAGCGATTAAGATACAATTTGATACAACGCCATCATTGCAACGCGATGGGGTTTCCTCTCAGTTTGTTTATATTCATTTTTTATTTTATTTTGTCGATACTTTGAGCGATGTGTTCATTTAGAAAAACTAGAGACCTACTTGCTGTTGCAGTTGATGACGGTTATGTCAATGAGGAAGAATTTTTGTTGCAATGGGATGTGAATACATCAAAAAACCTCGACTTTCCCGTGCATACGTACTCAAAGTTCGTGTTAGATGAAAAAAATGCTTCCGAAGTAAAAGCTGAGTTTCGCTTTGAGAAAAACGACATCCCAACTTTATTTGATGTACTGAGGATACCCGAGGAATTTACATGTCGACAAGGAACAGTTTGTGATGGCATGACGGGCTTGTGTATCGTTTTGAAAAGGTTAAGCTATTTTTGCCGGTATAGCGACATGATTCCGACATTTTGCTTTTCTGCTCCGGACGGTTGTGTATGATCTACAACACTGTTGTGGACTTCATATTCAACGAACATGGCTATCTCATCAGTCAATGGAATGAGTCTCTTCTCAGTTCTGAAAATATGCAACGATATGCCGACTCTATTTCCAGTAAAAGTGCCCCTTTGGGGAATTGTTTTGGGTTCATTGATGGAACTTTCCGTCCTATTTGTCGCCCAAAAAGAAATCAGAGAGTTGTTTTTAACGGACACAAGAGAGTCCACAGTTTGAAATTCCAGTCTGTTGCCTTGCCAAATGGCATGGTTGCCAATTTATATGGTCCAGTGGGTAAGTTTTATGTTATTAATACTGAATAAAGGTAGTTAGTCAACTAATTGATAAGTTTAATTATATATATACTAGTTTTGTTTTATTTTTTCTCAACCTTGCACTTGGTTACAATGCCACCCTCTATACGCAGCAAAAAATGCCACAAGTCGACAAGTTGCAACAAGCTTGTCAATTTCATCAACTTGCAACAAGCCTGTTAAAATCAAGCTTGTTGCAACTTGTCATCTGCATACTTGTTGCAAGTTGCATCAAGCTTGTTGACATCAAGTCTGTTTTCAACAACTTGCAATAAGCTTGTTCACAACTTGCATTAGGCTTATGATCAAGCTGATGCAAGCCATGAGAACGCATCCTGATACGGCTTGATAACAAGCCTGATGCAAGTTGTCAGCAAGCTTGTTGCAAGTGGGGCATTTTTGGCTGTGTAGGTGAGAATCTTTCAGAGACGGACTTTTCAGAGACGGACTTGATCCAAGTGCAGGTCGTAGCTATTGACTGACAAGTTATTTTGTGTCATTTTGAGCAGAACGGAGCAAAGAGCAAGTATGAATCTAATAAAAATTCACGGTCGAAATGGCATATTTTCGTCGTTGGAAAGTGATGCCAAAGTTAACGTATTCAGTGAAAATTTACTCCCTTAGTCTAGGACCTGTATATGAGTTTGTATGCATTTCATTTAGTACAGATAATCTCAACTGTTTTAGGGTAAGTTGACCATGACAGTCAACATGGTAACGATGCCCGAACCCCAATCCGGGGCGAAACGTTTGAAACTGACCACACTCAAAAACGACGCTTTCGCCATACTGTTATCTACCAAACCATAAAAGCTTTGACTATTGTGAGGTGCTTATATGGTTTAGAGATGGTACTTTTGGGGGTGGTCATTGGTAAGTGTGAAATGCCTAGCACTAACATTTCACAAGAAAATGGCCATGCAATAATCATAGTTAAACGTCAATTTGTGGCTTGCAAATTCAGATAAACAGCAGTGGACTTACATTACCTTTTTCCCTAAATCCTTTTGATAGAAACATAAAAGGTACTTATTGAAATATATTATCACTGGTTGGGTGTAAAATAGTTAATATTTTCTGACCGAAATAATAATTTGAATTGTGCCTACCTCCTGCAAATGGACGTATTTGGCCAAGTTCTCCACTTTACTCCGCTGTTTATGGCGATCTCGTCGACATCCTACAAAAATGTAAATCATCTCAGACATAATGGTATCAAGAACATTTTAAACAAGTTTCAACTTGGTTTCAAGTAGATCATACCTGTTTAACCATCAACAAGGTAAATCCACAACTTTGTCCAAATTCGGCGCCATTTTGTCATCCCATGTCGCTTGTTAACAATTCAGCCTCATTACTCTTCCATCCAAGCCATTTCCATTCCACTAATAATAAATTTAACCCTTTATAACAGGAAGAAACTAAAAAATTTAAACAAAATATAAGAAATACGCCATTTTATCACCAGGTAAAATTTTGCTCACGAGTCTTTCAAAACATTCCGTACAAATATCGCGTGACAAAGTAACAGGGACGTGACAGGAGGGGGTGAATTATTTCACGAAGATAGAAGGCTGCGTGAAATAGACTAAAAGCTAATACAATCATACAAATGTTTGTTTTATTTCTTGTAACGACAAATATATACATATTATTATTTATTAATATAAAAAGTCATACAAATTAAATGGGAATCCGATTGTAATAAATATGGAATGGAAATAAATATATAAAAGAATCTACGCGCGAGGTGCTGAAGGAAGTTTCATTTAGGTTGGCCATCGAATTCCCAATTCCCTCGGAATTTCATCGGACTTTGAATTCCCTCCCTCAGACTTTTCAGAGACGGACTTGATCCAAGTGCAGGTCCTAGCTATTGACTGACAAGTTATTTTGTGTCATTTTGAGCAGAACGGAGCAAGTATGAATCTAATAAAAATTCACGGTCGAAATGGCATATTTTTGTCGTTGGAAAGTGATGCTAAAGTTAACGTATTCAGTGAAAATTTACTCCCTCTGGGACTTGAAGCTTAGATGACGACCTTCACTTCAATAACTGAACCTGAACTATGCATAAATCATAATTATAAATAATGCCTGGTAAAATCTTGTAAACCCAGCTGCAAGCTCTTTGTTACCATGACACATTCGTGATTAATTGCGTTTTCTTTTGTTAATTGTTGTGCACTGCTTTAATTAGGTATAGAGGTGAAAGTATGTGATTTTGACCGACAATTTTTATCGTTCCCATATTTGTTCCGTTTTGCCCAGAATGACAAAAAAAAACATGTCATTCAACAGCAAAGACCCTGATCTCTATGATCTTTACGAGCATGTAAGCAGGTAGTCCAAACACGGGTAAAATGGGTAAGAGTGCCAATTTTATTTGTGCCGCGCTACAATTTGAGCGTAGTGTAAACGGGCCTTTTATTTAACATATTTGCGCACGTTTGTCACCGTAAGCTATGCTCCGGGTTGTGTCCGATTTTATGCTTTAATTAGTTTCATTCTTAGTTTACAGGGCAATACTATAGATATGCACTGTTTCGTTATTTTGAATAATTTTCTTAAAGATGTACTAATAATGCACTTGAAGTCTCAAAGTTTCAATGAAAAGTGCATTCAAAATAATACAATGGCATATTATGAGTAATTGTGAATTTGAATGGGTTTTTTGATACACCCTTTTTTGATACTTTTTTGATGCGCTCTTTAGCTGCATGTGATTGCCAACCTTAAGCAACAAAATTGAAAATCTTCAATTAACAATATCAAAAAGCTATGTTCATACACCCAAGTAGTTAACGCACAATGACATGCCAAATTTGGATTACCTTCTTTTTCATACATTTCCCACATGCATAATGTGACCAACGTCAATCTATTTCCTGTTTTTCGCTCCTTTAGGTACCTAAATATACCAATTACCAAGTGTCGCTCACAATTTCCAAGCAAGAACTGGATGTTCGTTATAGAGCTTTGGAGAAGTACTACGACGAAGACGACAACCTTCTTAGTCAGCAAGAGGTATGGGGAACCTGGAAAGGAGTCACAACCATCAGGGGTGACACCAATATTGTTAGCACACCAATACCCACAAAGTAAACATCACCCGGCTGACTGAAATATAGTTGTAGCTATCATTGATTGACTGAAATCTAGTTGTAGCTATCATTGATATGGATAATAAAGTAAAAATGTCATCAATTTGTCTCCCTTTATTTTCTGAATCGCTATACTGCTTACGAAACGAAATATTCGCTATTTTGATTATGGTTTCGTTGGAAATATTAATGAACTTTGAACTTTGAACACGACAATAGAACATCTTTTACAGTATCACTCAGGTCTTACTAGCTACTCTCGTTTATAAAAAATGAATGCGCGTGCATTCACGAGCCAAAGTTTCGACACTTCAGCCTAGTGTCTTTATCAGGGGTGATCTATACGCGGCTTCCTATATACTCAAGAGGTGCCGCCATTTGCCGAAAAAGGTGGAGATAGTCTTTTGCTAAATAACTGCAGTCATCATTATTCAGAGCATGACGATTATTATTACGTCACGCCTCAGGCACGCTTTGACCAAACACTGTTAGTGGTAATAATTTGAATTTCCACGCATTCGCATCACACACACACACACACACATCCCACACACACACAACCACACACACACACACACACACACACACACACACACACACACACACACACACACACACACACACACACACACACATGTACTGCCAATGCTGATTTCTTCTTGTTTAGCTTTGTTTAAAGTTGAAACAGCTTTTTGATGCTCTTTTAAGCGTGTGTCAAACTGGTTTGAACTGACCAGATATTCTTTCTGACAGTCATTGCATGGTATAGAACTAGCGTTTGGACTGACATAAATACTCTTTCTCACAGTCATTGCATAGTATCTGGGTCAGCCCAAACGCCAGTTCTATATTGAGTATATGAGAAGCCGCGTTGTCACTTTAAATCGCCCCTGATGAAGACACTAGACTGAAGTGCCGAAATATTGGAATGAATGATATTATACCTGGTTGCTGTGAACAAACTAACTTTATATCTTTTACATTATTTTTCTATTGTAATCTACGAGACTTAATACATACAAATTACACAGGAATGCATGCGCAACTTAGTCGGGAAGTTTTCTCGTCAAAATATCCTGGTAAATGCATTTTACTTCGACCTAAACGATGTTTATAGACTTTCAGTGCATTTTTAGTACAAGTTTTAGGAAATTCAAAAAACCGCGTTTTCTTGTTGCGTGAAGAGACTGGACTTGACTCCAAGAATAAAAAAGACCAACGAGGAATTACATTTTAATCACATTACATCATTACATTTATTAGGAATTACATTTACATTATTAGATATTCATAGCATTGAGGCAATAGCAATAGCGAATTTCTCTGTTTAAAGTTTTTGTCTGGGCTATATAGTCCAGTCTCTTAGCTGCAAAAATTGGCAAGATCGTGACAAACCTGACAAAGTCCGCATCTCTTTTCCCGCGATTTCTAAGGACAATTAAAATGTTTTTTGGGTTGTTATCATTAAAGAAGTTAGAAAAATATTCTTCTCTCGGGGGTGAGGAATTACTTTTCTGGAACAACGGTTCCGAGTGTTTATTCCTGTTATATTTAATAATATCATTGTAGTCATTCCTGGACGCTGATTGGCTAAAAAGCTTCAACAACTGTGCGAATTTATCATTAATTACACAGGTGTGTAATTAATGTCGAAATACCACGGTTTCGAGCCCGCGATACATTATAAAAACAAATAAATCAACGCTAAAATTCTTGTTTTTTTGTACATTTTTGTCAACTTTGGACAATGAAAATGTACTGAATGTGTACTACAATGATACTGAATAGGAAATTACACTTGTTCTCGAAGTATTAATGAAAAATTGCACTTGTGTTTGGCGAAGTACCGCTCGTGCTTCGCACGAACGTACTGATACTTGATGATGGCCTGAAATCTCGGCTGTCAACAGTCGCGGAGATGTTATGGCTCGAAAGTATGGCGACAAAACCTTAAAATTTATTCCTAAGACAGGATTAAGCAAGATGGTTGAACTACCTGAACTCAGAGAAGGTAACGTTATCGAACGGCAATATATTTTGCAGGACTTGCTGTTGATATCAACAACAAGGTTTGTTATGAAAATGTACTGAATGTGTACTACAATGATATTAATAGGAAATTACACTTGTTCTCGAAACACTCGTGCAATTTCGCCAAACACTCGTGCAATTTTTCATTAATACTTCTCGAACCGAGTAATTTCCTATACTAATTATGTTTTATAATAAGGTATTAAGAATTCTAACGTAAGAGATGGTGTTGACAATTGGCTGATGGAAGATTTATTTATTTGTTCGATGTTTTCAACTGAAGTTTTATTGATTGACAGAAAAAAACTACCAACCGTTAACGTTTCACGTTTTTGTAGTGACCCCCCTGATTTCAAATTTTTGGGCACCCCTTCTCAAATTTATTCAAATACATAGTTGATGAATTCTACAAGGGTGTCCAAGTTTGTCATAGAACGCCTAGCAGATATCAACAATTTCAAGATGGCGGATTTTTTTGATTATAAGATTATTTTAAACGAGTTGGGTAATGTGTGTGGTAAGGGATTTGATGGGTTAAAACGTTATTGCCAGCAACTTAATAATGTTATTGGAAAATGCGTGTGGAAAAAGGACTATGATAAGTTTAAGATCGACTTTTTTGCGCTTCAATATTTACCGCAGGAGTTTTCAGGATTTGTTCCATTAAAGGCGACTGATTATTCGGTTTATTCCGACTGTTTTCGGTCGTTCTCTACGCTAGTCTTTGGCAACGAAGAAAGGCATAATGAGTTGCGAGTGCGTTGTGTCGTGGAGATGACCTTATTTAAGGAGTTTTACTTGTCTAAAGAGATTACGTACAACGAGTCGTAAAGCAGATTAACATGGCGGATGGAATTAAAAGGTCAACGTTGTCAGAACAAGCCATGGACGTGATTTTCCAAAACAAAGTTATTGCGACTTGTAAGCTGCAATCACAGCCGTTTGATTGGCACATACTAGCATTGGGATCAGTCATTCAGAGAAGCATCATGAGTGTTTATCCTGAAACAACTCCAGAGGTGATTAAAATTTATATTTTTAGTCGTTTTATATTTGAATTAACAAGTAACACCTAACATAAAATCCAACTGCCATGACCCCATGTGTACATAATACAATATGGGATATATGACCAGTTTACAGTAGTCTTAGATAATTTGTAATAACAGTGGCAGACTATTAGCAGATTAGAATTACATTATAATTAGCAGACTATTTGAAACCAAGTGTTAAAAATGTTTTATTTACCCATTGACTGCCATAAATCCTTACACTCTAACCAGGGTAGTTTGACTTTAACCTTGTTCTAATATTCACAAATGCTCCACATCCTGAGGACTATCCAAGGTTCCAAATGTCAAAAAAATCCCCTATACCTGCGGCCTTCTCTCATAAATTAAAGAATTTTTAATAAACACTGCTAAAACAGTTTACATTTCAAATAATTATGCAATGAACTGCTGTAAATTGGATTTGAAAAAAGGCTTTGTCAAAAAAAGCACACAAATGTCTTAATGTCAGAAAGCAAAGATAATACTCACTAGATAATAAAACACAATTTGAAATGAACAGCTGAAAATTTGACAACTGGTTTGTTACTAATCCCTACCCAATCCCCCGGGGATAAATAAATTGTAATAGCTTCAAATCACGGCCCCTCTTGGGAGTGTATTTGCATAAACTATAACACATTCAGGAAGCATTACATCCATTACAGTAAAACCCTGCTTTACAGCTATATTGTTAGTATAGGTAATCATGCGATGGCGAGTACAATTCGGGATTAATAGTACGAGTGATGTTTGGAATAATCCCGAATTGTACGAGCAACATTGCATGATTATTTGTTTATTATTACCATGACGAAATTGGATACTTATCGATGTCAACATCATATTCTCTCGCCAAAGCCCAGTCCTGCCATACTTTCAACCAAAATTTGGTGCTTTTGTTTGTATTTTAATTTAGTTCTTTTGTTAAATTGGTGCTTTTGTTTGTATTTTTCATCTAGTTCCTCCAGGGCAATTTCATTTCAATTTTTTTTTAAATACCTTTCCGCCATTTTGTTTGTTTTGGGAAAATCATTAATTGTACTGCAGTACAATTAATGAAATAATTGTTCTCCTCTCAACCAATCAGCATCCAGTAATTTTGTCATGCTAATAATAAATATGCTAACCTCAATATTTTTTGTTTTGTATTCAGATTCGTCATTTGTATCATGGTATTCGTAAGCCAAGAGTATGCAAGGATAATGCACCACCCAAGTTTATTTTCTGGGCAAAATGTGGTAAAGTTACCTTTCAGGATTTGGTAAAGTTCAAGTCTAGTCACTTTATCCCATTGGTAAAAAAGCATTTACTTTCAACTGAATTTCCAGGTATATTATTATTAAAACTTAGTATAGGTATTGTATATAGGCCCGTTCTGATTCATTGTATAGTATATACATTTATTAGATACAGTATAACCAAGAACAGCTGTGAAAAATGCAACTACACATACAGGTCCCAGGCAGGAATTGGCCCTGCTAAAAAATGGAACAATTTTATATCCTATATTTACGTGACTACTACATGAAATTGTTGTTAAGAGCTCAGCAACTGGCCCCTGTACTTCAGTTGGTCAGATTGCTTCCTCAAATTCGCAGGGCTGCATATGCCAGGGACCTGTAGTTGCAATTTTTGCAGTAGTTCCTGGTTAGGTTTAAGGGAGTGGTTTTTCAAACTTTCCCTGCTCGGTGCCAACCATGGTTGCACCTTGCGGGAGCCGGACTCACTAAGTTTAAGAAGCTTCCTACCCCCTCCTAGTTGTCGTATTTACATAAACATACCATGCAAGTACACCTAACTGATCAGAAATTCCACATAACGGGCACCATGCTTTGTTTGATTCTTACGTAACGCAATTTCCCCTTGTGGATGTTAATGTTGTCAAACATTAAGATGACAAGCCACGTCTTGGGAAATCGCGAAGTAACGATGTCTTGGTATGAATCCAATCTTTTCGTAAGGTATGCACGACTACAAAATATGAATTTGTACCTATTTCAATATAATATATTGTTAATATAATATTCCATCTGATTCATGAAGATGGTTATAAATCATTGATATTCTGTTAAAACTTAGAACCACAACATTCATTTATACCTTAATCTTTTCTAGTATATTTGTATGTGTCAGATATTAAAATATAAACAATATTAGTAATCTTTTTATGAACCACAACTGCAGTACCTGGAAAATATAAGCAGAACTTCAACGTTTCGAGTGAAGGCCGTACATCGGGAAGTGAGTAGCGACCAACGAAGGTCTAAGGGCCTTATAATATCTCGAAATGTCCAAGTTCTGCTTATATTAATACACCCTTTCGATAATTACGTCATTTGGCCTGGGAGCCTCGCTCTCATGAATCGTCAAGCCGATCTCCTTGCGTCTTTTACTCATGGAAGCGAGGTTCCCAGGGCAAAACTGCATTCGTGACGTAATTATCGATAGGGTGTATTCCAAAACTGTGCTTTCCACTTTGTATGTTATTGCTATGAAGATGTAAAAACGAAACGTTAGCTTTCTAAGAAATATTTTAAACTATAGTTTTGTTATGGCTCTTTTACGTATTTTCTGCTGGGCATTAATATTTATCTTAAGATTACGATTTCCGTCTGGTTCATCTATCGCAAGTATCTTGTTAACAATATTGAACAGTATTGTTGTCCCTGAATTGGGTGTAACAATATTGTTCAATATTGTTGACAATGTGACTGTGAGCAATGTGGGCAGCAAAACATTGTTCAATCCAGGTTTCATCAATATTTTATCAATGTACGCTAACAAAGACCATTGGAGATTAAAAATATGCACAGTAAAAAAATATCCTACAAGCCAGGGTTAGGAGCCAGGGCGAAATAAAAAATCCTGCACAGCCTCGAACGTAAAAAAAAAACCCTACACAAACAAAATGGACCAATATTTCCTCACTGCTTGGAAAAATCCTTTCAAGTGGGAGCACTGATTCCTGTAATCTGGGAGACTATTTGACAGTAATATGTGTCTATGCATTTAAGGTAGATTTGCATAAATTTTTTTCTGGTGGTTTTGTTGTGCACAATGTTTTCCCCCGAGTTAATGATTTGCTCCAATTTTTTTCTGGTACTTACCACCCCTCCCCCCCCCAAAATGCAATTGTCCGTCACTTACTAAAAGTCGTAGCTCTTGCATAACCCAAGTGCATGTATTGCATCAAGTACAGCTCTTCCACAGCCATAACTTATTAGGAGCAAACCAAACATCAGCCCAAACTCATCTGTTGTTCTAAGTTGTGAACGGATCTTCCCAAGAGCATTAATGATGTGCAATGCAGATTTAAATTTGAATGCATCAGTTTTCTTTGCAGTATTTGTTTCTGGCCGTTTTTCAATAAATAACAGCTTTACAATTTGAGTGAACAAGGGGCACTGTTCTTCTACTTCGTCTGCTACATGTTGAAAGAACAACTCATTTACAATAAGATTTAAATCTTCACTTTCAGTAATATTTTTCAGACCAAGGTTATGCAAGTCTTCAACAATCTTTATTTCCATACTTAGTTGCTGTTTTTGAATTTTTGTTAGCTGCATATCAGTAGTATTGGTTGTTAAACTTGAAATGTTCTTTAATGCAGAACAAATTGTATTTGACCGTTCTTGGTCACATGATTCAAGCTTGTTCAGAGCATCCTGGATCTGATTAACTTGATCTTTTGTGTTCGATAGATCGCTCCTCAAAGTAATATTTTCATCAGTAATTTGTGTTACTGTAGATCTGATATATTCTTCAAGATCCTTACGCAGTGCATCATTGGTTATAGAATGGAATTTTAGAATCCCCTCAATACCAGAAACGTTGCTTTCAATTTGCACATTTTCACTGACTTTTTCAATTTGCTTTACATTCGAGTATATCATGTTTTGAGAGAATTAAGGCATAATAAACAAAGAAAAATACATACTTAAAGTGTGGATCGATGTTCAACATCCATATTGAATAAGAATTTGTTTTATTGTCAAGATATACTGAAATTCATTTCCAAAAGCTGATGATATTTTTAAAGGATACACTTTTTTCCTTGTCTCTTTTTGATCATATTGGTTCCCAAACATTTTCCGAGAAGTCTTATACGCACGACCTCTAAACAAGGCACGAACAGCTCTGTGCAAATCAACATCGCGAATTTCTATTCCCATGTCACTTTCTAAAATATGTTTCATTTCTTCCACACTATAGTGAAACATCCCTCTTCATATATAAAATTACTCTCCAATGACTTGTATATATCTGTCAAAAAGGACATTTAATTAAAATCAAAACCTGAAAATGCCTAATAAAGCAATGTTCAATTTAAAACAACATGCTACAAAGCTACTGCTACAAATATCTATCACAACTGGTATTTAAAGTATGTCCAGACTACACACTAATTTTTCCAGACAGATGGACATCATGAACTTCTGTTTGGAAGAATTTATTATAAATGATACACTTTTGCCTTTTGGTTACTGTATAAAGATACATAATTATCAATTCCCAAAGTTTTGCAACAGTGTACGACTCTGTCCTTGAAGAGCAGAATGGGGGGCATATTTAATTAATTGGGGGAGGCTTAATTGTCTTTGGGCCCCCCACTTTTTAACAATGGTCAATAATAAACCACAAATTTAATTGATATTATTTCAGTTATGCATGTAGACTAAACAATTTGAAATATTTTATGACAATTTGTTACATTTAGAATCTGTAAATCTACTAAAGTGTAAGAAATGTAATTTCAGTTACTCTAGTTTCAAAATTTTACCAAAGGGTATGCCTCTGGATAACATGCGATTAGGCCTTACTAAATAAAGAAATAGGCCTGATACACCTTAACAAAAGTCCATGTTTTTACAACCGTATTTCGGTTGTAAATCCGATCGGTTTATTTATCATTTGATTGGTTGGTGCCAGTTAGATTATAATATTGTTGTTGATATATTTTATAGTGACCACAAATATAATTAGATTGTTGTCGTCGTTGTGTCCTGCGACATTTTGATAGGATACTAAATACAAACTTTGGTGTGGGTGGAAAGTGATCCGATTAAGGATTGTGTCAGATTGTTATTTGTTAAAAATAATTAGAGCCTGATCTCAAATGCCTTAAAGTGTCACCTGCCTTTGGCAGGCACTAAGTGTAACCTCCACTTTTAGAGCCACTTCGAGGGCCTCAGTTGAAGAGTAAACTCATGTGGCACTGGACAGAGTAAAATATTAAAGTCAGGTGCACTTGGGCACATTGCCAGTGAATGGGTTAATGACAGCAAATCTCATTTCATTAGTAGGAATGCAAGCTTGTCTACATGTTTCATTATTCCTGATATGAATTAATATCAACAAGACGGTCTACAGAGCGTAAACTCGCTGGGGCTATACAATTAAAAACTAAATTTTGTCACGATATTTGCTTATAATTTGCTAACCGCTACAGAAAAACAGAACACTTTACAGTAAATTACAACAGATTGCGGAAGTGGGAAGGTTCTTGTATTTTTACTGTAACATACTGTAAAAGGTAGCCATTACCAGTAAGTTAGTACAGTAGCGCTAACATTAAATTTTGCTGCCGCTATACCTAGGCAGTTTACAGATATAGACAAGCGGTATAATAAACTCGAATACAGTGTAGAGCGAGACTTTATAGAGAAGAAATAGTACAGAAAGAGCTGACAGCAATACTTGCAGATACGCATCGAAGTATCATTATGCAATAAAAGAATCGCAGATTTTTCTATAGTATACATCGTATAAGAACAAAATTCTGAAACAATCACTAGGACTATATGAAGTTTAAATATTCAGTTTGAGTATGAATTAGGATTATATAATCACGAAATAAATCTTGCATCTGAACTGAAACCAAATTTGGCAAGTTATTTAATGCATGGAAACCATTTCTGTAAGCTTTTATAATGTTTATTTTTAATGAAGCGTCGACAGTTCAATTTCATTGATTTACCAGTATCCGGCCCAGTAGAGATGGCGATGTTCGTTGTAAAGGTACCGATAATGAAGGATAATCAATATACGTTAATTTTGTCCTTGAAGAATTAACAGCCGTATTTCAAGGAACTTGTGAAATCGCCAAAAAATCCACTTTGATAGCAATATTAATTGAATAACGTACAAATTCACGAACAATTCATGGCGTCCATTCCGGCCCGTGATCAGAATAGTGGAGACACCACAATGAAGTTTAATAGTGATAAAATAAATTAATGAGCATCGGCATTCCATTGTAAACATATCATCATTCTTTATTTCAATTAATAGTCGAACATATTTCGTTGTATAAAGTGAGGTGTTGAACATTTTTCTACAAAATAAAGAATTACAGAAAGTTGAATATAAAACTACTTAAAAGGCCCACACAGACCGGACGCGATTCGGCAACGCGACGCGAATTTTTAATTTTCAATGACATTTAACTTCAATATTTTTCTATGGTTTTTAAATATTCGGAACCACTTCAGCAATTTTAGCTATTTAGTCTGCATATTTTGTAAAATTTTTATCCGTTGACGGTTTTATCACGTTTGGTCTGTATGGATCTTAACAGTGTGTCAATATATGAACATATTTAATTGGATTTGCCCCAGAGCTACAGGAGACTCCTCACATCAGTTTCTTTGAGGATTTACCAGAATCCCCCATCCCAGTCTCTCCTAGACTGGATTTTCATTTCAGCGATTGTTAATATTCGATTAGTTTTTCTGCTGCAATTATATAGTGCTAGTTTAATGGGTTATATACCGAAACGTTATTGAAAGTACTGGCGTTACACTACTGTATTTAAAAATAAATCACATTTACTTACCGTAAACATCGTTGTAAAGATCTTTTTACCGTAAATATTTCTTCTCAAATTGACTCAAAGGCGTTGTAAAATTATTACAAACTGCGAAGCAGCGAAGGTCGCTGTTTTCATGTCAATTTACTTAAGGTAGTTGTTTCCATGTAAACTTTGGCTTTTCTAGTAAAATTCTGTAATTTTCTTTATTTATTTATGGTTATTTATGGATAATTTGGGTAAAAATTGGCAGGTGCCTTATGGATATTTGGGGAGAAAGTTGGCAGCTCATTAATATTCTATTTTGTGGCTATCAACGACGATCGGAAATCTGACATCGGAAATCCGACATCGGAAATCTGACATCCACCAAAAATGCATGCCGAAACCTGAACTCGCCCGGGCACAGGTGCCCCAGCGAGTAATTATGAAAACATGCAGGATATATTTAGGCACGTGAAGAAGTATGAGGGCTAACTAACACAACACCATATCAATTAACCAGGACCAAGATTGTTTAAATAAAAATTGATTGTACGATTTGTACCGTACGGTCCGTACCTTCATCAAATTTTTTTGCTTTTTTTGTCGGAGGCTTTTTGGCACTGGGACTTGTTGGAAAGCATTGGCTCCTTTTCCCATCTTCAACAACCCAATTAAGCTCATCTATAAATTATACAAAGTAAACTACATGATCTGCACTTATATAATATAAAATATACAACAAGTATACGAACATTATATGAGTTATTAAATTAAAGTAATCACAAGTACTCGCAAAGTATATATAATACTATAAATAAACTTGCAAATTGGACAGCAAGACAACAACAAATGCTGCAAGATACAATAAAGTGGGCCAATTGTAATACTACAGACAAGGAGAGAGATGTCTAGTACGGCGAACAATAAAATTCCTCGTTCATATTTTTCATATTTACATAATTATGTAAATGACTTTAATAGCATATCAATTTACATAGCACGAAATATTTTAATGATCTCAGAGCGAGGGGTATATATACATCACTCATCAGATGGAAGATTAAAATATCATTCTATAAACAAATATATGCAAATAATAAAACGAAGTATAATATAGTAAAACATTAATAAACATTTGCTATCAAAAAAAGAAAGCTTAAGATGCCACAACGCGATGCCACGACGCGGCCGCCTTGACCGGAAAAAGTCTGGGGAGCAAGACGGCGGCGCCGTGACCACAAAAGCGATTAAGATACAATTTAATACAACGCCATCATTGCAACGCGATGGGGTTTCCTCTGAGTTTGTTTATATTCATTTTTTATTTTATTTTGTCGATACTTTGAGCGATGTGTTCATTTAGAAAAACTAGAGACCTACTTGCTGTTGCAGTTGATGACGGTTATGTCAATGAGGAAGAATTTTTGTTGTAATGGGATGTGAATACATCAAAAAACCTCGACTTTCCCGTGCATACGTACCCAAAGTTCGTGTTAGATGAAAAAAATGCTTCCGAAGTAAAAGCTGAGTTTCGCTTTGAGAAAAACGACATATCCCAACTTTATTTGATGTACTGAGGATACCCGAGGAATTTACATGTCGACAAGAAACAGTTTGTGATGGCATGACGGGCTTCTGTATCGTTTTGAAAAGGTTAAGCTATCCTTGCCGGTATAACGACATGATTCCGACATTTTGCTTTTCTGCTCCGGACGGTTGTGTATGATCTACAACACTGTTGTGGACTTCATATTCAACGAACATGGCCATCTCATCAGTCAATGGAATGAGTCTCTTCTCAGTTCTGAAAATATGCAACGATATGCCGACTCTATTTCCAGTAAAGGTGCCCCTTTGGGGAATTGTTTTGGGTTCATTAATAGAACTGTCCGTCCTATTTGTCGCCCAAAAAGAAATCAGAAAGTTGTTTTGAACGGACACAAGAGAGTCCACAGTTTGAAATTCCAATCTGTTGCCTTGCCAAATGGCATGGTTGCCAATTTATATGGTCCAGTGGGTAAGTTTTATGTTATTAATACTGAATAGAGGTAGTTAATAAACTAATTGATAAGTTTAATTATATATATACTAGTTTTGTTTTATTTTTTCTCAACCTTGCACTTGGTTACAATGCCACCCTCTATACGCAGCAAGAAATGCCACAAGTCGATAACTTGCAACAACCCTGTTAAAATCAAGTTTGTTGCAACTTGTGATCTGCATACTTGTTGCAAGTTGCATCAAGCTTGTGGACATCAAGCCTGTTCTCAACAACTTGCAATGAGCTTGTTCATAACTTGCATTAGGCTTATGATCAAGCTAATGCAAGCCATGAGAACGCATCCTGATACGGCTTGATAACAAGCCTGAAGCAAGTTGTCAGCAAGCTTGTTGCAAGTGTGGCATTTTTGGCTGTGTAGGTGAGAATCCTGGTCATATTCCCTGATGCACATATAATCATTTCATCCCTTTCTAAAATGAGTTTAGCGACAGAATTCTTTAATTTTATTTTACCATACTTTAAAATTCTTTTTTATATTACTATAGAAGGAAAAAGACATGATGCAGCAATGCTTGCAAAGTCTAGGTTACTTAATGACCTTGAAGAACATGCCTTTTCTCCAACTGGTGAGCTTATGTGTTTCTATGATGACCCTTCATATCCCCTTAGAATTTATCTACAAGCTTTATTTAGGGACCCACCCACAGCAGAAATGATGGCATTCAACAGAAGTATGCGTAGTGTGCGTGTTGCAGTGGAGTGGCTTTTTGGTGACGTTTTCAACTATTTTAAATTTTGACAATGGGAAAATAAAAAAAATACTAAAATTTATTAATTATAAATAAAGTGACGGAGAATTGCGTTTTTTTGGGGGGGAGGGTGGAAGTGGGGAGGGGAGGGGTGGTAAGTACCAGAACAAAATTGGAGCAAATCATTAACTCGAGGGAAAACATTGTGCACAACAAAACCACCAGAAAAAAATCATGCAAATCTACCTTAAATGCATAAACACATATTACTGTCAAATAGTCTCCCAGATTACAGGAATCAGTGCTCCCACTTGAAAAAATTTTTCCAAGCAGTGAGGAAATATTGGTCCATTTTGTTTGTGTAGGTTTTTTTTTACGTTTGAAGCTGTGCAGAATTTTTCATTTTGCCCTGGCCCCTAACCCTGGCTTGCTTGTAGAATATTTTTTTACTGTGAATATTTTTAATCTCGAATGGTCTTTGTTAGCGTACATGGATAAAATATTGATGAAACCTGGATTGAACAATGTTTTGCTGCCCACATTGTTCACAGTCACATTGTCAACAATATTGAACAATATTGTTACACCCAATTCAGGGACAACAATACTGTTCAATATTGTTAACAAGATACTTGCGATAGATGAACCAGACGGAAATCGTAATCTTAAGATAAATATTAATGCCCAGCAGAAAATACGTAAAAGAGCCAAAACAAAACTATAGTTTAAAATATTTCTTAGAAAGCTAACGTTTCGTCTTTACATTTTCATAGCAATGACATACAAAGTGGAAAGCACAGTTTTGGAATACACTCTTTCGATAATTACGTCACGAATGCAGTTTTGCCCTGAGAGCCTCGCTTCCATGAGTAAAAGACGCAAGGAGATCGGCTTGACGATTTATGAGAGCGAAGCTCCCAGGCCAAATAACGTAATTATCGAAAGGGTGTATTAATATAAGCAGAACTTGGACATTTCGAGATATTATAAGGCCCTTAGACCTTCGTTGGTCGCTACTCACTTCCCGATGTACGGCCTTCACTCGAAACGTTGAAGTTCTGCTTATATTTTCCAGGTACTGCAGTTGTGGTTCATAAAAAGATTACTAATATTGTTTATATTTTAATATCTGACACATACAAATATACTAGAAAAGATTAAGGTATAACTGAATGTTGTGGTTCTAAGTTTTAACAGAATTTCTCAAATTTATTAATAATTCATGAGTAATTCAGCCAATGATAATCACCTATTTGATCACAAGATGCCATTTGGATACTTGATGAAAGTCACTAGTGTTTTCATCAAATATCTTAATTACGCATGCAAAATTACTTGAATAGAATTCCTAATTACGTTATGCTTGGTTAAGAATTCCATTCAAATCAGCAAACGAAAACATTCTGTTACGTCTCGATTCATTTGAGAAGCCATATAAACAACTCGAGCTCGTGTCTCACCGGGATATCCAAACACTCGAAAACAATGTATGAAAACACTCGCGCTTCGCGCTCGTGTTCTCATACATTGTTTTCTCGTGTTTGGATATCCCGGTGAAACACTCGCTCTCGTTGTTCATATATTACATCAATGATGATTTATAACCATCTTCATGAATCAGATGGAATATCATATTAACAATATATTATATTGAAATAGGTACAAATTCATATTTTGTAGTCGTGCATACCTTACGAAAAGATTGGATTCATACCAAGACATCGTTACTTCGCGATTTGCCAAGACGTGGCTTGTCATCTTAATGTTTGACAACATTAACATCCACAAGGGGAAATCGCGTTACGTAAGAATCAAACAAAGCATGGTGCCCGTTATGTGGAATTTCTGATCAGTTAGGTGTACGTGCATGGTATGTTTATGTAAATACCACAACTAGAAGGGGGTAGGAAGCTTTTTAAACTTAGTGAGTCCGGCTCCCGCAAGGTGCAACCATGGTTGGCACCGAGCAGAGAAAGTTTGAAAAACCACTCCCTTAAACCTAACCAGGAACAGCTGCGAAAATTGCAACTACAGGTCCCTGGCATATGCAGCCTTGCGAATTTGAGGAAGCAATCTGACCAACTGAAGTACAGGGGCTAGTTGCTGAGCTCTTAACAACAAGTTCATGTACGTAAATATAGGATATAAAATTGTTCGATTTTTTAGCAGGGCCAATTCCTGCCTGGGACCTGTATGTGTAGTTGCATTTTTCACAGCTGTTCTTGGTTATACTGTATCTAATAAATGTATATACTGTACAATGAATCAGAAGGGGCCTATATAAAGTACCTATACTAAGTTTTAATAATAATATACCTGGAAATTCAGTTGAAAGTAAATGCTTTTCTACCGATGGGATAAAGTGACTGGACTTGAACTTTACCAAATCCTGAAAGGTAACTTTACCACATTTTGCCCAGAAAATAAACTTGGGTGGTGCATTATCCTTGCATACTCTTGGCTTACGAATACCATGATACAAATGACAAATCTGAATACAAAAGAAAAAATATTGAGGTTACCATATTAACAATATAGCTGTAAAGCAGGGTTTCACTGTAATGGATGTAATGCCTCCTGAATGTGTTATAGTTTATGCAAATACACTCCCAAGAGGGGCTGTGATTTGAAGCTATTACAATTTATTTATCCCCAGGGGATTGGGTAGGGATTAGTAACAAAGCAGTTGTCAAATTTTCAGCTGTTCATTTCAAATTGTGTTTTACTATTTAGTGAATATTATCTTTGCTTTCTGACATTAAGACATTTGTGTGGTTTTTTTGACAAAGTCTTTTTTCAAATCCAATTTACAGCAGTTCATTGCATAATTATTTGAAATGTAAACTGTTTTAGCAGTGTTTATTAAAAATTTTTTAGTTATGAGAGAAGGCCGCAGGTATAGGGGATTTTTTTGACATTTGGAACCTTGGATAGTCCTCAGAATGTGGAGCATTTGTGAATATTAGAACAAGGTGAAAGTCAAACTACCCTGGTTAGGGGGGGGTGTAAGGATTTACATTGACTGATACATAACAACTGATACATTTGTGCACATTGGCAGTCAATGGGTAAATAAAACATTTTTAACACTTGGTTTCAAATAGTCTGCTAATTATAATGTAATTTTAATCTGCTAATAGTCTGCCACTGTTATTACAAATTATCTAAGACTACTGTAAACTGGTCATATATCCCATATTGTATTATGTACACATGGGGTCATGGCAGTTGGATTTTATGTTAGGTGTTACTTGTTAATTCAAATATAAAACGACTAAAAATATAAATTTTAGTCACCTATGGAATTGTTTCAAGATAACACTCATGATGCTTCTCTGAATGACTGATTCCAATGCTAGTATGTGCCAATCAGACGGCTGTGATTGCAGCTTACAAGTCGCAATAACTTTGTTTTGGAAAATCACGTCCATGGCTTGTTCTGACAACGTTGACCTTTTAATTCCATCCGCCATGTTAATCTGCTTTACGACTCGTTGTACGTAATTTCTTTAGACAAGTAAAACTCCTTAAATAAGGTCATCTCCACGACACAACGCACTCGCAACTTATTATGCCTTTCTTCGTTGCCAAAGACTAGCGTAGAGAACGACCGAAAACAGTCGGAATAAGCCGAATAATCAGTCGCGTCTAATGGAACAAATCCTGAAAACTCCTGCGGTAAATATTGCAGCGCAAAAAAGTCGATCTTAAACTTATCATAGTCCTTTTTCCACACGCATTTTCCAATAACATTATTAAGTTGCTGGCAATAACGTTTTAACCCATCAAATCCCTTACCACACACATTACCCAACTCGTTTAAAATAATCTTATAATCAAAAAAATCCGCCATCTTGAAATTGTTGATATCTGCTAGGCGTTCTATGACAAACTTGGACACCCTTGTAGAATTCATCAACTATGTATTTGAATAAATTTGAGAAGGGGCGCCCAAAAATTTGAAATCAGGGGGGTCACTACAAAAACGTGAAACGTTAACGGTTGGTAGTTTTTTTCTGTCAATCAATAAAACTTCAGTTGAAAACATCGAACAAATAAATAAATCTTCCATCAGCCAATTGTCAACACCATCTCTTACGTTAGAATTTTTGATACCTTATTATAAAACATAATTAGTATAGGAAATTACTCGGTTCGAGAAGTATTAATGAAAAATTGCACGAGTGTTTGGCGAAATTGCACGAGTGTTTCGAGAACAAGTGTAATTTCCTATTAATATCATTGTAGTACACATTCAGTACATTTTCATAACAAACCTTGTTGTTGATATCAACAGCAAGTCCTGCAAAATATATTGCCGTTCGATAACGTTACCTTCTCTGAGTTCAAGTAGTTCAACCATCTTGCTTAATTCTGTCTTAGGAATAAATTTTAAGGTTTTGTCGCCATACTTTCGAGCCATAACAGCCCCGCGACTGTTGACAGCCGAGATTTCAGGCCATATTTTTTCATCAAGTATCAGTACGTTCGTGCGAAGCACGAGCGGTACTTCGCCAAACACAAGTGCAATTTTTCATTAATACTTCGAGAACAAGTGTAATTTCCTATTCAGTATCATTGTAGTACACATTCAGTACATTTTCATTGTCCAAAGTTGACAAAAATGTACAAAAAACCAAGAATTTTAGCGTTGATTTATTTGTTTTTATAATGTATCGCGGGCTCAAAACCGTGTTTCGACATTAATTACACACCTGTGTAATTAATGATAAATTCGCACAGTTGTTGAAGCTTTTTAGCCAATCAGCGTCCAGGAATTGACTACAATGATATTATTAAATATAACAGGAATAAACACTCGGAACCGTTATTCCAGAAAAGTAATTCCTCACCCCCGGGAGAAGAATATTTTTCTAATTTCTTTAATTATAACAACCCAAAAAACATTTTAATTATCCTTAGAAATTGCGGGAAAAGAGAAGTGGACTTTGTCAGCTTTATCACGATCTTGCCAATTTTTGCAGCTAAGAGACCGGACTATATAGCCCAGATAAAAACTTTAAACAGAGAAATTCGCTATTGTTATTGCCTCAATGCTATGAATATCTAATGATGTAAATGTAATTCCTAATAAATGTAATGATGTAATGTGATTAAAATGTAATTCCTCGTTGGTCTTTTTTATTCTTGGAGTCAAGCCCAGTCTCTTCACGCAACAAGAAAACGCGGTTTTTTGAATTTCCAAAAACTTGTACTAAAAATGCACTGAAAGTCTAAAAACATCGTTTAGGTCGAAGTAAAATGCATTTACTAGTATGTTTTGACGAGAAAACTTCCCGATTAAGTTGTGCATGCATTCCTGTGTAATTTGTATGTATTAAATCTCGTAGATTACGATAGAAAAATAAGGTAAAAGATATAAAGTTAGTTTGTTCACAGCAACCAGGTATAATATCATTCATTCCAATATTTCGGCACTTCAGTCTAGTGTCTTCATCAGGGGCGATCTAAAGTGACAACGCGGCTTCTCATATACTCAATATAGAACTGGCGTTTGGGCTGACCCAGATACTATGCAATGACTGTGAGAAAGAGTATCTATGTCAGTCCAAACGCCAGTTCTATACCATGCAATGACTGTCAGAAAGAATATCTGGTCAGTTCAAACCAGTTTTCGCACGCTTAAAAAAGCATTAAAAAGCTGTTTCAACTTTAAACAAGAATAAATCAGCTTTGGCAGTACACATGGCTAGAGGGAAATTAGCGATTAAATTTCCCGACGCCGAGGGAAGATTTGTGAAAGTCTGAGGGCGAAGCCCGAGGACTTTCACAAATCTTCCCGAGGCGGAAGGAAATTTCATCGCTAATTTCCCGACTAGTCATGTTATTAGTTTGTAATATTATGATCGCCGAGGAAAACTCAAAAAAGTTTGCTGCAGAGATAAGTTTAGCTGTTTGATTTTGTATTTTTCAATGATGTTGTTTATGAGTTTTACTATTGATTGAAATAAGTGTACCTTTGGGACATGCTTTGTTGTTGTGAGACTTATGTAAATCACCGCATTGATTTTAAACTTAGTTTTCGAATATTGCTGCAACTGGAAGGTTCTATTTTGTGTCGGACCGGACAGTTGAAAATGTTCAAAAAGATAGAGTGCCAAAGAATACCATAAGGCACATTACGTGGAGTACAAATGTGTACAACGCGTGGGTTAAAGAGAGGAACTAGCAGTTTCAGCAGAAAGAAACGAATTTCAGAGGATCTATAAATCTAAGTGGTTTGCTTCAAGGAGCCACTGCTAGTCACGTAAATATAAACATAAATATAAACGTACGTTGATAGCATGAATTTTACAGTTGGTCTTGAGTTGGAGTTTGACGTTTAATTGTTTAGCAAAGTCATACTTGTGTACATTTAAAATTTAATATATTGAATAAAATTGTTGAGTGTTTTAGGTTTCCCGTTTGCATTAAATATGGAAGCGGGAAATTTAGGAAAAGACAAAGGATTTCTTTGTCTACTAATCATCCCGTGCATTTTTGATGAGGGAAGATTAGTAGAAAAAGAAATCTTTTGTTTTTTACTAAATTTCCCGGGAAAATTTAGTAGACAAAGCGAAATATTCCCTGTTGCATGCGTAATGAAGAAAATACGGGATTTAAATTCCCTTTGAGAACAATAGAAAACGAGGCGATCATGATATTATAATCGTCATGCTCTGAATAATGATGACTGCAGTTATTTAGCAAAAGACTATCTCCACCTTTTTCGGCAAATGGCGGCACCTCTTGAGTATATAGGAAGCCGCGTATAGATCACCCCTGATAAAGACACTAGGCTGAAGTGTCGAAACTTTGGCTCGTGAATGCACGCGCATTCATTTTTTATAAACGAGAGTAGCTAGTAAGACCTGAGTGATACTGTAAAAGATGTTCTATTGTCGTGTTCAAAGTTCAAAGTTCATTAATATTTCCAACGAAACCATAATCAAAATAGCGAATATTTCGTTTCGTAAGCAGTATAGCGATTCAGAAAATAAAGGGAGACAAATTGATGACATTTTTACTTTATTATCCATATCAATGATAGCTACAACTAGATTTCAGTCAATCAATGATAGCTACAACTATATTTCAGTCAGCCGGGTGATGTTTACTTTGTGGGTATTGGTGTGCTAACAATATTGGTGTCACCCCTGATGGTTGTGACTCCTTTCCAGGTTCCCCATACCTCTTGCTGACTAAGAAGGTTGTCGTCTTCGTCGTAGTACTTCTCCAAAGCTCTATAACGAACATCCAGTTCTTGCTTGGAAATTGTGAGCGACACTTGGTAATTGGTATATTTAGGTACCTAAAGGAGCGAAAAACAGGAAATAGATTGACGTTGGTCACATTATGCATGTGGGAAATGTATGAAAAAGAAGGTAATCCAAATTTGGCATGTCATTGTGCGTTAACTACTTGGGTGTATGAACATAGCTTTTTGATATTGTTAATTGAAGATTTTCAATTTTGTTGCTTAAGGTTGGCAATCACATGCAGCTAAAGAGCGCATCAAAAAAGTATCAAAAAAGGGTGTATCAAAAAACCCATTCAAATTCACAATTACTCATAATATGCCATTGTATTATTTTGAATGCACTTTTCATTGAAACTTTGAGACTTCAAGTGCATTATTAGTACATCTTTAAGAAAATTATTCAAAATAACGAAACAGTGCATATCTATAGTATTGCCCTGTAAACTAAGAATGAAACTAATTAAAGCATAAAATCGGACACAACCCGGAGCATAGCTTACGGTGACAAACGTGCGCAAATATGTTAAATAAAAGGCCCGTTTACACTACGCTCAAATTGTAGCGCGGCACAAATAAAATTGGCACTCTTACCCATTTTACCCGTGTTTGGACTACCTGCTTACATGCTCGTAAAGATCATAGAGATCAGGGTCTTTGCTGTTGAATGACATGTTTTTTTTTGTCATTCTGGGCAAAACGGAACAAATATGGGAACGATAAAAATTGTCGGTCAAAATCACATACTTTCACCTCTATACCTAATTAAAGCAGTGCACAACAATTAACAAAAGAAAACGCAATTAATCACGAATGTGTCATGGTAACAAAGAGCTTGCAGCTGGGTTTACAAGATTTTACCAGGCATTATTTATAATTATGATTTATGCATAGTTCAGGTTCAGTTATTGAAGTGAAGGTCGTCATCTAAGCTTCAAGTCCCAGAGGGAGTAAATTTTCACTGAATACGTTAACTTTAGCATCACTTTCCAACGACAAAAATATGCCATTTCGACCGTGAATTTTTATTAGATTCATACTTGCTCCGTTCTGCTCAAAATGACACAAAATAACTTGTCAGTCAATAGCTAGGACCTGCACTTGGATCAAGTCCGTCTCTGAAAAGTCTGAGGGAGGGAATTCAAAGTCCGATGAAATTCCGAGGGAATTGGGAATTCGATGGCCAACCTAAATGAAACTTCCTTCAGCACCTCGCGCGTAGATTCTTTTATATATTCATTTCTATTCCATATTTATTACAATCGGATTCCCTCCCTCGGACTTTTCAGAAACGGACTTGCTCCAAGTCTAGCCGCTAAGACGTGCTCTTTATGACCATGAGAAAATTATGTCCATACACCCGGTAATTAACGCGAGGTGATATAAGTTTCATTTCTCGAGGGACGATGATTATTAGCCTCCGTTTTCCCAATGAACGATAAATACCGGCTGTATTCGCAAGCTAATATCATATCAGTCCCCAGCGAGCGCAAATGCCGTTTGCCACGAGACGGAATTTTCCGAGAGGAGCGACATTTTTCTTGTCTGGTGAGCTTTCAGGCGAAACTATAACGATCATAATACAAGGAAAAATAAAGTAAAGGAAAAGAAAAAATAAATTCCGCCTAGTGGAAAACGGCCTCAAAAAACGAGCGAGAAATACGATATCGTTATGAAAGCGACAAAACTGATGTTACCCAGTCTCGAATGTGATAACCTGTTTAACACATACTTGTGCCTCTAAGGCTCTATTAGCTTAAAAAGCTCATTAAGTTGAAAATTAACTGCCAAAGCGGCAAGAAAAGATTCCTCGCTGGCAAATTAAAAAATTGACGATAGATATCACGTCATTGGGGAAATATTTCGCTGGTGCCAAGCGAAAAGGGTGAAGTGCAGAACAGGCTTAACACGCTAATTTGAATTTAAAAAGGAAGCCTTTTGGGGGGGGGCACCCTGCATACATTGTTTGATTTAATGCACAATAATAGAAACAATATAGTCACCTCAAATGTACGTTGGTAAGTAATCTCCGAACTATGTTTGACACCTTTCCCGAAAGCATAATTTCCATGACCTTCTACGGAAATTGTTGTTTCAAAATCTGCAACAGCGCTAGCTAGAACACCTGAATGAATGGTGGTGGATACACCAACTTTCCATCCATGTTCGGTGGAGTAGTCCGAGCTGATCTCCTCTACATAAGTCTTTTTAAAAAGTAATGTAGTTGTTGTCGAGCCTCGATTTATAGTTCCGTCTGTAAAGATATTTAACATTACAATACATTTGAATTTCGTGGCACCATGCAAATGCCCTTCAGGCACATTTTGAAGCCCGTACACCACTTCACCAGGGCGTAATTCCACGACGAACGAAATGCAAAAAAATTTCGCACAAATGTGTTTCCTGCGAAATTTTTTGCATTTCGCTCGTCGTGGAATGACGCCTTCATTTCGCTTGGCGCCGGCAAAATATTTCGCCAATGACGTAATTTTCCCGTAATTTTTCGTAATGAAAATCCTGTCACTGGCGAAATACTTCAACAGCGCCGAGCAAAATGATGAAGTGGAGAACGGGCTTTAACAATCAGTGACAAAATATGTGGACCGGTAAGGATGAGACAGGTAACATACACCTACCCTTCTCTTACAATCTTGTGAGAGTGAGTGAGGCTAAAAATAACATTTTATCAGAAGTGATTTCGTGTTTTATTGTGATGCTGTCAACTATCAATCGCATTGAGAGCAACATTGAAACAAGGGACATGGGTTTAGATGTTAATTTACTCCACTCTTGACAAAACTAGCCATTCCATTCAAGTGTCCCCACCTCTATGTGTATGCAGATCTAATCATCAAGATGCCTTGTGTTTGTAGTCTCGAAATAAGGTTTTTATTTATTTGCTGATATTATTCTGAGTTAGTCCACATCGTACAAGCTGAAAAATTCCTGAATTCGACACACAAACATAAGACATTTAAAATTGATTTATTTGGGTTTGCAGAAGAATTAGCGCCTGCGATCAAGTAGTTATACACCAACGAATCATCGATCCGTACACACATCATGACACATGGTCTTGCATTGCTCAGTAAATCGTAAGAGTAATTACAAGAAAATTACCGTGAAGGTACAAGTCTGGTTTGTGCACTAAGCTACCAGAGGTGATAGGATCCACGTGTTGGATAGTCACTTCCATTCGTGTCGTTCTGGCAAGGCACAACACTTCAGCATTTCCGTAGGCCCAGCTGGGATGTTCTTCAAACTGGTTACCTTGATACGTTGTCCAAGCCTCCCTATTGTTCCAGCAGAACCCAAGAGTATCTTTATATATCCAATTTCCATTCCTTTCCCTGAGATGCATCCCATGCAAATAACAGACCTGCGTGTCACTTCTTCCATATTTAACGGGTTCACAGTGCTCTTCTCCCGAGAGATACTTCCCGTAGTTGACCCATTTGTAATCATTAGCACTTTCGGAATTATTATATTTCCTAGTTTAAAAAAAGCTCACTCACTTCAAATCCAATAATAAATACTTTTTGTGCTAAGGTAATAGATAACTTTACATCTAAAAATTTAACTTTATTGTGCACTGTGGAATTTTTAAATGCATTCCGTTTAACAGTTAGGGAGAAATCTGAATGAATATTAAACCATTTCTTAGAAACGTTAACAAAACACACAATTTGTTTAGTTCGACTTTAAAGAGAAAAAAAGGTGTTAACAAACCGTAGATATACGAATGAACCGTCATTCCACGTATTTTCACCACCGTTGGCAGTGTAAGCAAGACACTTATTGCCTTTCACGGCCTTTCCATATCTTCCGCTAGCATAAGCTGGTATATTTCCATCTGGAGCTAGAAATGCGTCTGAGGCAGGAGCACTGTAACACCTGGACCAAAGACCTACTTGGTCGACAGCTACTGCAAGATCTAACCTGCTCAGAACTGCGAGAAGCAACGCCACGTACAGTGAATAAGTGTTCATCTAAAGAAGTAAAAGACAATTACAGGTTATTTTCAACTAGTTCGTTTCAAACCGAGGAAGGAAGGAGAAAAGAAGGGAGGGAAGGCAGGAAATTGAAACGGGAGAAAAGGATAAAACGAGAGAGGCAAGCTTAAGGAGAGGAAGAAAGAAAAAGTAAAAGAGGGGAGAGAGGAAAGAAGGGGAGAATGGGACAGAAAGGAGTAAAAGGGATAAAAAGAGAAGGGAGTAAGCAATAGTAGCGAAGAGGGAGGGAGGGAGGGAGAAAGAACAGGAAAGAAGGGGAAGAAAGAGACAGAATGACAGAAAGGGATGAATAGAGAAGGAGGGAAAGCAAGAGGGAAAGATGGAAGAAGCGTGAGGAAGGGAAAGAGAGGAGAAAAGGAGTGGAAGGGATGAAAAGAGAGGGACGAAAAGCAGAAAAAGAGGGAAAAAGTGGGAGAGAGGTGAGAAAGGGAGAGAAGAGAAAGGGTGAAAAAGCGTGGGTGGGAGGGAAGTGGGTAGGAGAAGGAAAGAGAAAGGAAAAAGGGTGAAGAATGGAAAGAGGGAAAGAGAGTAAAGAAAGAAAGAAATCATTAGAAAATGGGAAGAAAGATAAAAAGGAAGGGAAATAATGAATGAATGGACGAACGAATATAATGGAAGGAAGAACTCAATTTTAGTTACTTAGTGCATGAGATATCAATGTCATTTATTAACTAAAAAAAGTTCCCGTTACTATAAGATGCAGCTAAATGCAATTCTAACCTTGCGTGGCCTTGGTTTTATACAATGTTTGACAATACCATTGGGACAATCAAGATTTACTATTTCTTGATAAACGTATTCCCATCCGTCTCTCCACCCCACTCAATGTTGGCTTCTGGCGACCAGATTTTTTTGTGGGACCAACATTGAATAAAGGGGGCAAGGGGTAGGCTCTTCAAATTAAGTGAAATTGCAGTGTATGATCTCATAAATTTTGGTAATAAAGCGAATTCGTTCTTAGGTTTCAAGATGTGCTCCCCTAGTGACATGTAACGGATTCGCAATTTAGTAACACTTGTTTGTACTTTTATTAGCAAACTCAGGAGAAAACACAAGGATAATTTCGAATGAAAAACTAGGCGAGGATTACTAAATCCGCACGGCTATTTACACAACGGAAAGGGCAGCAAGTAGATGGAAAAGTCCAGCAATGATCATCTCTCATTAATCCCTCAAAATATATGGCGATTGTCAAAAGTGAAAGTTGAAAACATAAATCACAAAAATTGTTAGAACGATAAACGCAAAACAGTTTTTACTTCGAAGCAAAGGATTTGAAGACATTACGGCAGAAAACACAAGGCAAGTTTATTTTAAATGTTTATATATTAGTTATATTACTCCGCATGCAAAGCGTGGAGTTTTAGAATACCAGTGTCTGTTGTCGTCAACCACTGATCTGACAACAAGGACTGGATAAAGCATGCTTTTGTTTTCGATCAATCAATTTTGAAGCCAGAATATCTATGAGATTTAAAGTCTGTAAAAACTCTGAAAATCAAATCCTAAGTGTTTATTAAATTAGCTGCATTAACATTAACAAGCAAATGCCTTTGTCTATGTCAGTTGAAAGATATAGCATCCAACATTCGTTCTAATAAGTCTTCGAAGGTTTAAAGCACTAGATAATGAGATTTGTGGCAGCCATCTTGGTGTGATCTCATTAGTTATTCACAGTATTTCACACGCAAATTTAAGGGAAAAGATAGGCTAACTCAGTGATGATTTTCACATCAGCCAATGTTTATCTTGTCCCAACAATAACCAGAAATTGTGCTGTACAAATTTTTTCTACTATGTCAGCAAAACCCATTGGTAAAACCACAGTAGATGGTCACACAAATATGGCTTCATTTATGCATGGTTTTATTAGATTGTAAAAGGTAGCTCAAAGTTTATAAGCTTTTCAGTTTTTATTCGGGCTTCCTTGCCAGTTTAATTTGTATTTTTGTTTGTTATTTATGTTTATTTATGTTTATATATGTGTGTTTGTTTTATAGTATATTTGTGGCTAAAATAAATTGACCTAACTTGATTAACAGATGCACTATCCAGTTTTAGTTTGCAGATCAGTAACGCAAACAGGCTCCTTGATAGAAAGGTACATCTGTGTACATTTGTGCTAATGTTACGTCGAAACCTTTTTAGTTTTTTTGACCCGCACATGTTACTTCCGGCGCTTTGTCAAAACATTGTGAATTATAAATATGGCGAAGTTGGCGAACTTGTATCTAACAATTTAAATAAGTGTATCGTCGCTATTTCATGGTAGATGACAAATTTTGAAGAAAAACAGATTATGCATCTTGTTATAATAAAGCGTAAATAATGATTCTAAATATGTCAAAATCTTAATACCTTGTCCATATTGTGAATCTTTGTACCTTGTCCATATTGTGAATTTATAAACTTTTTCTTAGATTTAACAGTAGTCTTATACATGTTATTGCAGTGAGTGGCAGCTGCAAGAGGAGGAGGAATTTTGCCCCTACTATTTGCCCCTCTCAGATATTTTGCAGTATTCGAGCTTTTTGTTTCAGTATGCTGCATTATAGATTACTAAACAATATAATTTACTGTCAGAGAAACCTCAAATTTAGACTTACTTTAGTCCTCAATATTGGTCAAACCACTGTGGTCAAACAGCATTAATTTGATGATGGATTTGAAAATGATTAGCCAATTGGCATTTGCATGATGTTGATTGGCTGTTCGAATTTGAACCTTTAAGTACTCTTCAATAGATTATTAGACGTTTTAACGTTGCTTAAAACTTTGATATTGATAGTTTAATACAATGCACCTTGTCACTATGCCACCTCAAAAGAGAATTGGTTTGTCTCTTAATTGCCCCAAACATTCGTGCCTGGTGTCGCCACTGCTGACAGTTGTGCTTTTTGTAAAGTAGTGTAAACGATTTTAGCAATATAAATTGTGAAATTTACTGTTCAGTTAAATGTTTCAGCAAAACAGGATAATTGTCCAGTGCACAAGGTTAAAAATGCGCTACCTTTAAATATCTCCAGTCTTTTTTAGTGTTGACGAAGGGCCTTCGTTCGAAACGCTGAATCTGTTTTATCGTTTCGGTAGTCAGTAAAAATTTTCCCGCCAGTGCAAATTTTAAGATCAGTATTTTTGGCGTAACACAGTATGAACACACAGGGTTCTTTGGGATAACCTAACACCACACCCATGTTCTCCGTTTCCTTAACTTTTTCGCAGCTTCTAAATAAAGAATTACTGATAAGGCGATGACCATTCTTAGGTCCTTTTTTTGTAGAGCCGTTCTCTCCAACCGGCACGATATTTCGTTCCTATAGAATGCGGATTAAACGCTTGAGTAATCGTCTTGTTTGTTTTAAATTGTTGCTTGTTCGTAAAAGATTTAGCAACAGCGCACTCATCATGAATTCCAAACAGGAGTTTACGTTTGATAAATTACTATATTATAATTTTTATCGCGGTAAACCTACCTTACGAAAACAAGCATTCAAAGCTTATGCAGGTAAATACACTTTTAGCGAAACTTGTACAAAATATTTTATTATCTCATTGCTCTGGAGTTGAACCTCGCTACGCAAGGCAAGGCGCTACGCAAGGCAAGGCGCTGCGCAAGGCAAGGCAATGCAATATATTGACTCTGGATATGTTCTATACTAGTCGTCATGCTGGCTTTTTAATTTTTCAAAAGCGATTACCATAGCTGATGTTTCTCAAAGCATGCAGCTTTAATTTTTCATTTCATAAAGATGGTGCTTACGTAAGGTGATAATAAAACAAACCATCCAAGGTGATGATAAAACAAAATCATTTCATTTTTGAATTGACGCTCAACAATACAACATTTTGGGAACTGACTTGATTGCCTGTTGTTACTCATTTGTAATCATTCTACTACATGTTACAGGTTCCCTCTGCGCAGCATTCGACACAAAACAAAATTATACACTGACACCTTAACCTGATTTAGCTAAGAACTGATGTTTCTCATAATTTCAAATAAGTTTTAAAGTAAAATGAAAAGAATGAAACTTACGTTTCAGCGAAATGCAAGAAAAATCTTCTGTTCTGTTTTTTCGGCGAATGATTTTTATTGTTCTTTCGATGAGTGATGCTTTGAACAGATGTTTGAAGAACAGTGGCTTCGCCCTTTTATGTGCTATCCATGGGCAGTACAGTGATCGCATCAATGCACGAGCGCACTGTTCACGTGCAGACAGTCGTCCTTGAATATTTCGGCTGGCACCAGCGTAGAGTACACGATTTCCGTTATTTGTTTTGTTTCGTTATGTGTAGGCAAGCATGGCCAAGTGGTAAGTGCCTTCTTTCGTTTGGCACAAGGCACAAGTTCAAGACTTCCATTATGACAATTACATAGACCATATTATTCTAATTAATGACAATTAAATGCCCTTAGAAAGGCGCCATTTTAAGTATACGTGCGTCGGTTTGTCAAATCTGTTTAACGCTAATTTTAGGTTACAATTTTACTCGCTATTTTCAAAACTTCAAAAAAGAATTCGCCATTTAGAATCCCATTCCATGCAGTCATAACAAATTGTTCCAAGATAAGAATAGCTATCGTGAATTAATTTCAGAAACCTGCTGTGTACCGCATTCCTTGTGAATATAATTTGGTTTACATTGGTATAAAACTGGTGAAAATCTCTCATTACAAATAGCAAGAACAACGAGCAGTAGTAATATAGGTACCGTTCGACCCGGATTTTTGTGGTGGAGTGTGGTGGAGGAAGGATGCGTAATGACGTCACTCATTAGCATACATCATAATTTCTTAAACACGATCGGTTGAAACTTGCTGACTACGCATTTTTTAGCGTCCCTCCTCGTGTGCGACCAATAGTTAGGGCTATATACAAGAGAATATGTTGTTGTCTGGAGTTTTATAAGTACAGTTCTAGCATTTTGCTGTTATTGTCAAGTGATTCCTTTAATTTAGCTCCTAAAGGAATAAAAAATCTGATACTATATGAAATAGCATTAGTCTTATATTCGGGGTATACAGCTATATGTTTTGTTTTTAAGTAATTTATAAATATTATCAAGAGTTAAAGGGCTGAGAAATAGCATGCGGTAAGAGTTATTATGTATCTACAATTAAACTAATATTTAAATCCCCATCTGCCCGGCATATAAGGTCTATATACGAGAGAATATGTTGCTGTCTAGGGTTATATAAACACATGGAAATTAGAGGTTATGATATATAATTGTCAAGCGATTTCTATATTTTATTGGTATTTTTTTTAAGTACTAAAACTCGGATAAGGTTAATAAATTTAAGTTATATTAAAGCACACCGGTTGCTAAGTGTTGTTAGGGTGACGCTAATTAAAGGATTAACTTTTATCAGAGATTTGAATTTTTCTACTGTGTGGATAAATACGGGTAGATTAGGATATTCATTGCGCGGGCGTCGCGGGTTATCCGTGCGGGAAGAGAGAAAGCGATTTAGACAAGACAGGAGCGCTTTGCAGCCAAAAGTTGAAAGACTTTGTGTGGAATCCTGTAATGGTTGTCAAATCGGTTATCCTGTTCAAAGACAACATGACAGCCTAACGATGAACGAAAACGAACGATGGCAAATGTAAGGTTTACAAGAGATCGAACGAGTGAACGGTAAGCGTACGGTTTGGAATGAATTCGCTGAGGCAATGAGGGTACTAAAATTGGTGGTTGAAAGAGATGTACTCGAACATTTACAGCGACTGGAAAAAGATCCAGATTCTACGTTTGTCGATTCATTGATGGAATTACATCAGAACACTGAGAACCACGAACTACAATGTATACTAAACTATTTGTTTCATTAGAGATTAGAAGACCCGCTCGAGTCAACAGCTAAAGCGGGGTTTTTTTCGTACTCACCGAGTTACATGTATTATGCGAAGGCGACGGGTGAACGATTTAGAAGTTTTGAGGCAGATCATAAGAAAGCTTATCAAGGATTCTTGGAGAAAAAACTTGTAGAACAGTTTATTCGTCACAAAAATCAACACATATTTTAAACTAAACAGTTCCTAATCCCGAGTTGTCAACGTCGTTGTTAAGGTTAATATTTACATGTTGTTTAACGTTATTTTAGCAAATATTCTACATGTACATATATACTGCATGTTAAGATGACCGAGTCAGATCATAAGTAAGCTTATCAAGAATATAATTTAGAACTGGAAAAGTTGTAATATATTTTGCGATAAAAACATGTAATAGTTATATACGTTGTTGTCACTTGTTTCAGGAGCTTCGCTTTCCGATTCTTCATCATGGCTACTTTCATCATCGTGGTTGCTTTCATCTAAGATATTGATATCCTAAGATACTGATATCCTAAGATATTGATATCCTAAGATACTGGTATCCTAAGATACTGATATCCTAAGATACTGACATCCTAAGATACGGATATCCTAAGAAAATGATATCCTAAGAAAATTATATCCCAAGATACTGATCAGCTCCTTAGGCTCGGAGCCGAGCTCTTTAGGCTCGGAGCCAGCTCCTTAAGCTCGGAGCCAGCTCGGCCTAAAGAGCTGGCTCCGAGCCTAAGGAGCTGGCTCCGAACCTAAGGAGCTGGCTCCGAGCCTAAGAAGCTCGGCTCCGAGCCTAAGAAGCTCGGCTCCGAGCCTAAGAAGCTCGGCTCCTTATCCCATACCTGTGTTAAAAGCGGCTTTCTCATTGGTTTAGAGCAGGTGAGCTTGTCGTCGAGCTCACCTGCTTTTTGCCGAACTCACCTGCTTTTCGCCCGAACTCACCCGCTAAACTGCTTACGTTGCAATAACAATAACAAATATGGCGGACAAGATTTAGCCGATAAACCTAAACTTTAAAGAACCTTTCTCGGTGACTAACATACTGAGACTAAAGAAAAACCAAAGAAAAAATGTAGTAAAGGTAATGTAGACGTCGATAAAGAAGAATTTTCTTGCCCAGTGATTTTTTTGGCCGGGAAAATGTTCACAAAACATCGACGAATATATCGCGAAGAGCTACAAATGTGTGTATGGCTCGGTGTATGGGATAAAAACCAAACGTACTTGCAGGTTCGGTGAGTCCGGGATTGGACGCACCTCGGGTGGCTGGAAGTTTCCCGAACTTACCTCGCTTCGCTCGGTAAGTTCGGGAAACTTCCAGCCACCCTCGGTGCGTCCAATCCCGGACTCACCTCCCTGCAAGTACGTTTGTTATAGAGCCTAAGGAGCTGATCAGTATCTTAGCATATAATTTTCTTAAGATATCATTTTCTTAGGATATCAATATCTTAGGATATCAGTGTCTTAGGATATCAGTATCTTAGGATATCAGTATCTTAGGATATCAGTATCTTAAGATATCAATATCCTAGATGAAAGCAACCACGATGATGAAAGTAGCCATGATGAAAAATCGGAGAGCGAAACCGCTGAAACAAGTGACAACAACGTATATAACTATTACATGTTTTTATCGCAAAATATATTACAACTGTTCCAGTTCTAACTTATATTCTTGATAAGCTTACTTATGATCTGACTCGGTCATCTTAACAGTATATATGTATGTAGAATATTTGCTAAAATAACGTTGAACAACATGTAAATATTAACCTTAACAACGACGTTGACAACTCGGGATTAGGAACTGTTTAGTTTAAAAAATGTCTTAATTTTTGTGACGAATAAACTGTTCTACAAGTTTTTTCTCCAAGAATCCTTGATAAGCTTTCTTATGATTTGCCTCAAAACTTCTAAATCGTTCACCCGTCGCCTTCGCATAATACATGTAACTCGGTGGGTACGAAAAAAAAAACGCTTTAGCTGTTGACTCGAGCGGGTCTTCTAATCTCCAATGAAACAAATAGTTCAGTATACATTGTAGTTCGTGGTTCTCAGTGTTCTGATGTAATTCCATCAATGAATCGACAAACGTAGAATCTGGGTCTTTTTCCAGTTGCTGTAAATGTTCGAGTACATCTTTTTCAACCACCAATTTTAGTACCCTCATTGCCACAGCGAATTCATTCCAAACCGTACGCTTACCTTTCACTCGTTCGATCGCTTGTAAACCTTACATTTGCCATCGTTCGTTTTCGTTCATCGTTCGTTTTCGTTCATCGTTAGGCTGTCATGTTGTCTTTGAATAGGATGACCGATTTGACAACCATTACAGGATTCGACACAAAGTCTTTCAACTTTTAGCTGCAAAGCGCTCTTGTCTTGTCTAAATCGCTTTCTCTCTTCCAGCACGGATAACCCGTGACGCCCGCGCAATGAATATGCTAATCTACCCGTATTTCATCCTCGTACCCAGGGTCTTTTTGGGAAAGACCCTGGTATCGGCTGGTCACGTGACTCTACAAAAATTGATTGCCCAAGGGGGAGTGGCAAAGTATCAAATTACATGCTTCCACAGAAAACGTTAAATTTCAAATACCAGGAGTGGGATTTTACGATATATAGTTCGAAGCGCCCGCTAACTTCTATTTTATACCTCCGTTTGCTTTTAAATTACAAAGACACTGTAACATTTTATCAACAGTCAAGTCAAGAAACAAATAAAATGTATGCTTTAAACTTTGAAGTTGGGTATTCCCTTGAAACATATTTTCATATCAAAGTATCAAACTGGTCAGTCCTCAACGTTTGTACATTTTCACTTTTATCTGTTCCGAAAATATGACATTAGATTTGTTGTTTGAAAACGTTGATAAACTTTGTGCAGATTTAACTAATAGTACGCGTATCATTTTATAGTGAAGGTTGATAAAATTTTGAAATGTAATTAACTTTTTGTCACAAATCACAATGTAAACATGTGGCCGACACTGCCGAACAGAGACTAAATGCTCACTTTAAAACTGTGGATGGTTTATCTTTGAAAATACTTTTAATTAAATAGTTCGTCATATTTATTAGAAAACTCTGTAGATCGGTAGGGTAGGAGGTTGGCAGGTAGTAAAGTACAACAATTTTCAGCCCAGGGCGTGTATCATCAGGTGGTATATACAATCACAGCTTTAGCCTGATAATTTTTTGGCCTCCATGCACTAAGTAATCGGGTAACATCAATACTTATAACAGTATTTTTCTGATATACAGTACACACTTTATAATATGAACATAGTCATAGATAATTCCATAAACCACGGCATAAACACTGATATCACACTCAGTCTGATATGCATATGTACCCACCACAGATATATTACTGTAACACTTACATAGTCTTAGAGTTTGATTCAGTATTATATTTCACAAAGTACTTTATTACAGTAAAGTAATTTCATTACAGTAAAGCTAATGTCACAATTAAAGCTATTTATCAATTTTATCATGCGGACTGTATTCTCTAAATGTCCTAAATGTCAAACATATACAGTATTCGTATTTGTAACATACACGCACAGACGAGTCTTTCACTTATCTTTGAGTAGGCTATTGTCGGATTATTTTACCGTATTTCTTGAGCATCAAGTTTCAACAGATTCTGGTTTTTCGTATCTCTGAGGATGGTTCTGAAGTTTCAGCAGTCCGATTAGCATTGTTTACAAAGCAACATAGTTTGCGATATTTCAGAAATCAAAAGATCTCTATATCTCGTTACACATCTCAGTATTAAATAAATCCTTTAGGATAGACATCAACAGCTAAATAACAGCCACATCGGTCGGTACTGGTGTAGAAATATATTTTCTTGTAACGTTTGCGACGTGTTGATTTCTTCGACGAGCTGTATCCGAGTGTATCGGCATAATTTGTCTATTGAAATCTGATCTATCTTTGCTCACCGACATTCTGCGCACAATGAAATTTGATATTCACCATTGTGTAACATTGATAGTATTCATGACAAATAAAATATACAATTTTGTAAATATTTCCTGCATGATTTCTGGGTTATTTCTTCGCTCACTCCTTGCTCAATGACAAAACGTACTTAGGTACCCACCCTAATTGAAATTGTTTGTTATCTCCCAGATTCTGGGAGACACGTGACCAGCCGATAGCAGGGTCTTTCCCAGCCGGTGGAAAGTCCCTGCGACGGAGGTTGCCCGTATTTATCCACACAGTAGAAAAATGCAAATCTCTGATAAAAGTTAATCCTTTAATTAGTGTCACCCTAACAACACTTAGCAACCGGTCTGCTTTAATATGGCTTATATTATTAACCTTATCCGAGTTTTAGTACTTAAAAAAACTACCAATAAAATATAGAAATCGCTTGACAATTATATATCATAACCTCTAATTTCCATGTGTTTATATAACCCTAGACAGCAACATATTCTTTCGTATATAGACCTCATATGCCGGGCAGACCGGGATTTAAATATTAGTTTAATTGTAGATACATAATAACTCTTACCGCATGCTATTTCTCAGCGTTTTGACGCTTGATAATATTTATATATTACTTAAAAACAAAACATATAGCTGTATACCCCGAATATAAGACTAATGCTATTTCATATAGTATCAGATTTTTTATTCCTCTAGGAGCTAAATTAAAGGAATCACTTGACAATAACAGCAAAATGCTAGAGCTGTACTTATAAAGCTCCAGACAACAACATATTCTCTTGTATATAGCCCTAAATATTGTGTCGCACACAAGGAGGGACGCTGAAAAATGCGTAGTCAGCAAGTTTCAACCGATCGTGTTTAAGAAATTATGATGTATGCTAATGAGTGACGTCATTACGCATCCTCCCTCCACCACACTCCACCACACTCCACTACAATCCACCACACTCCACCACAAAAATCCGGGTCGAACGGTACCTATATTACTACTCCGAGCGAGATAGAAAAAACAAATTCATAGTTTTTGTAGTAAAAAGAATTAAAGCTGTGTTCTTAGGAGCACTACTTGTGCATTTGTGGGGAATGAAGTATTCCGATATGTCCACTTCATTGCCCATAGACTCTGCAACGTCACAAAATTATATACACTGTATATCGCAAATACAGTGTGTGTGATTGGGACTGGCTGTCCAACTAGTGTATTATCTTTGTCAGGTTAAGGACTGTCCAAATGTGTTAACTTGGTCAGGTTAGGGACTGTCTAAGTGTGTAATCTTGGTTAGGTTAGGGACTGTCTAAGTGTGTGATCTTGGTTTGGTTAGGGACTGTCTAAGTGTGTGATCTTGGTCAGGTTAGGGACTGCCCAAGTGTTTTATCTTGGTCAGGTACGTCAGGGGGTCGCTACCCCTGTCATTGCACCAGTACAGTATCAGTACAGCAATGTGACGAGGAGCTGGGATGTCGCTTGACAAATGCGCGCTACAGTACTTCATCCCCAAAACCCCTTCTTCCCCCAAAAACAATCAACGGTGGTTTCTTGTGTTTATTTTCTTTTATGGATCCAACTAGTACTGCTTGGGTCATTAACAGTAGTTCTATCCGCTCTCTAGTGCATAATATATTGCCGCACACCGGGGAAACTTGCTTACATGCACCAATGGTCAAGCGTTGAATTCTGCTTAGAAGATAGCTCTCATATGTGGCAGAATTGTTGTCGTTTTACAGACAAACTGCAAAAATATTAGCGATTTTGATATATACCGACTGGTAAGCAAATACGGCAACAAAATTCAAATTAAGCAATGCGAATACTTTTACCCCTCCAGCTCTTTCATAAGAGGCATGCAAGCGGTGGAAAAATGGTGAGTCTAATTCACCGCAGCCAATGCGATGTATTTTTAGCGAATTCCCAATCGAAACTTACGAATATTGCCCGGATAAACACCTCTGAATTACGTACGTTTTGTTGAGATTATAAAACTGTGGAGCTATGTTCCTAAATCTGCTGATTCCCATTGCTTCAGCGCTCGCTTCTCTTTCAAGCCATACCTGCACAAACCTGCTTCTACCTTTCCAGTATTTCCTACACTCTTGACCAACCTAATTCACATTTGTTTATCTCAACTCGTAAATAAAATGTGTTTCTTTGTAGTATGTTTTCCCGTCTTTTCCATTCATTTCACTCTCTAATTTTGAGTCTATCTACTCTACTTAATAATTGGTTTTTGTAACTTTGTCTGCTATCTTGTCGTGCATGAACACCATGCACTTTTTTGAGTTGTGTACTTCTTGTCCATTTATTAGTCTGCCAAATTAAAGCCTTCGAAAACATAAAATAAATTACCACACGCATCATGTAAATTAACTGCTCTCTTGCATGCAGCTATTTTGGACTGTGAACTGATTAAATCTCTAATTTAGGTATGGTGAGATGGTCACAGGATCTGTTTTGAATTTAACGCTCTCCCTCCTCTAGTTTAGGTAGCGAGTTTTGTACCCTTGCTGCTCTTTGATTTTGTGACCCGCTACCTACACTGGCCAAGTTCAAAGTAATTGTTTTGCATGCATGTGTTTTCAGAAGAATATAAGAGGGTGAGGATTGTATGTTTAGCAGAATGTTTGAAAGAAATTTTAAGAATTAACGCTGAGTGGCCTATAATTGCTTTGTAACCTTTGACATGCAAGTCACTGGAGTGTTCGTATTAATATGTTGTCTATGCTCTGGTCAAAGGACACGATACAATATACGTAGAATATATGCATATGAAAATGAAGAGGATCACACCTCAAACCAATACACCAAAAATTAAACTCGTGGCAGATTTAGATTACATATCTGGCTGTATTTTCCATTTCTCAAAAGTGAAGAGATAACAAATAAATTTTTTGCCGGTTGCAAAAATCCAAATTCTACCTTGCGTGCTTATTTCATCTTGCAAAATTATTTTACATTGTGTTATTTTCTGGATGACCTGCTTCGGACCTCCTCTCTGCTTTCCTGCAATTGACATATTATGAATTAAGAATCGATTATATGAGAGCGAAGAAGCAGACAAGTGCCCTTTTAGCGAGCAATTAATATATCTGCTTAACTACTAAGAAAGTTGCCGGTCTAAAGTAAGCATTCAAAAGTGATAGAACTAATTGCAGGGGGTGGGGCTATAGTTGTCCAGAAGCGTATCAGCTTAAGCATTCATTATACAGCGTAAAATGAATTCAAAGCAAACTTCCCTGTGTTACGAAGGCTAATTGCACAGCAGCTTTGTGATATGGATCATGACAGACCTTTTGCATTTTTTAAAATACTTTTTGTTTTTAAATTAATTTTTGTTTATTGCACTGTTTAATATATTTTTCGTAACGTTTGATGACTTTCAATCAAATTGCAGTAGCTTTATATTTGCTTTCGTTAATAGGGCTGATAACCAACTGATATTTTAAACTTTAAAATGGTTTTAGTGTGAATAATCTTGATTTAACTGCCAGTTTGTGACGCTATACAGTAATTTGACGTGGCGCGCGTGCCGCGTGCATATTTTCTTTATCATTTCAGTACACTAGCGATTGATACGCTAGGCGAAAAGCGCAATTTAAATACAAATATTAAAGCCCAGCAAATGACATTCATACAAGACATAATATGAATAAAATTTAATGGCTAACGTTTCGTCCTATACAGTACAACATATGAAAATCTGAACATATGGGTATTTCGCCTTTGACTGGAAAGAAGCGTTCCGTTTTACAAATCATACTCACTTCACCAAACATGAAATCTCTGCCTATGACTTTAAAATCCTTTCATCTGGCCCTTCAGAAACTGATCTTTACTCACTCGTGAAAGCCCTTTCATAGCTAAATATAACCCCATCGTAAACACTAACATTAGGTCACTTCTTCTCGACCTATTTAAACTTGTATATAGATACAAGTAGATTTAATTACTAATCATTTATATATATATATATATATATATATATATATATATATATATATATATATATATATATATATATATATATATATATATATAATTTGTTTTGTTGTAGTAGATAATAAAGTGCTCAACACTAATACAAAAGTAGAGCAAGATATATTTATATCTTAAAATTAATTATTGCTACTCAAGTTTCACGCCTTATTCAAGACGATCTTCAGGCAATTAATTCAGTTTGTGTTTGATTCGTCAGCATCAACGGTCGGTCGCTGACGCGTAGGCTTGTCTTGCGTCATTGGTTTGAATTTGCACGCGCTAAATTTTTCCTTATGACAGCACTTCGCATAAAACTCTGATCGCGTGTTCAGTGAATTGTTCCCTTTCGCTTTCAGGATGCATAACTTCTCTTCCAAACAGAGGCCACATCGTTTTCCACCAGGCGTATACGCAGCAGCTCTTTTCAAGATGGACCACTTGATGTTATAATTTCTTCTACTTTGCTTCAGACTCCAAATATACTTGGAAAGCTTTGTATCAGACGAGTATTTACATTTATTTTACTTTGTATCTACAACCACTCGTCTGATACAAAGCTTTCCAAGTATATTTGGAGTCTGAAGCAAAGTAGAAGAAATTATAACATCAAGTGGTCCATCTTGAAAAGAGCTGCTGCGTATACGCCTGGTGGAAAACGATGTGGCCTCTGTTTGGAAGAGAAGTTATGTATCCTGAAAGCGAAAGCGAACAATTCACTGAACACGCGATCAGAGTTTTATGCGAAGTGCTGTCATAAGGAAAAATTTAGCGCGTGCAAATTCAAACCAATGACGCAAGACAAGCCTACGCGTCAGCGACCGACCGTTGATGCTGACAAATCAAACACAAACTGAATTAATTGCCTGAAGATCGTCTTGAATAAGGCGTGAAACTTGAGTAGCAATAATTAATTTTAAGGTATAAATATATATATATATATATATATATATATATATATATATATATATATATATATATATATATATATATATATATAGTAGCGGGGGAAAAGAATTTGTTAAAT